TCTTGAGCCTTAGCCTTAGACTTTGAGGCTCTCTTGAGCCATAGGAAGTCACCATTGGTTCACAAGTGCAGCCATTGCCTTCTATGACTCTTGTCTAACACTGGCTAAGCTTCACACCATGTAGATGACCTGACTTCCTGAGGCAAGGGGTAGTACTAGATATGTCCTGTCTGAATTGGCCTAAAACTTATATTTAAGGCTGTGGGAAGGAGTTGGGGTGTGCAACAGTGCTGAGCACTTTGTCCATTAAGAAGACTGAAATGTTATGTATCTAGAGAAAATATTTAGATTCTGCAACTGGAGAGGTGTTGCAGCCAGGATTGAGCATTCCATGGTGTTTGATGGCATCTTTAACAAGAAGTGATGGTTCTGTTATTTTCCTGAAGTTTGAAATCAGCTGGACAAGCCCTGCTTCAGCTACCATCTTTTGCAGAGGCACGTGAATACATGAAGCTGCCTCACACTTAATCAGACCCTTTGTCTATCAAGGGTACTACTGCCTACTCAGAATGACAGTGGCTTTCCAGGGTCTTGAGTAGAGGTTTTTCATGTCACATTGCCTGATGCTGGGGATTGACCATGGGATGTTTTCTATGCCAAACAGACCTATCACTGAGCCACAGCACCTCTCTAGAGCTTTCTCAGTAGTGACCCCAGAACCTGGGAATCCCCCCTCCCCCAAAAAACCACCATTAGTTTGGTGCTTTGACTGTGCGGCAGAACAAAAACACAAATTCTTGCTAATGTTTTGATAACTAGCAAAATCTATTTGTTTTAGTTCACCTATGTGTGAGAACATTCCATATTGTCAGTTCTTTAGACTGTTGCTTGTTTTATGTCCCGTCTTTCACAAATGATTTTGTAAGCTTGATGGTGTGTCGTCGTACGATGTTTTAATATATTGGAGATTTAAAAATGCTTTTATTCACTCTTGGAATTCTGGTAAAAGTGGTACAAAATATTGTACATAAATTTAAGGTGTAGGTACAGGATAAATAATCTAAAAACTGTGCCATGTACATTGCAAATGTACAGTGTCTATGCATTGGCACATGCTTTTACTATACAGTTCTTCTGGATTATTGATAAGGAATTATATTGTAGTCATAAATAATCTGTTCCAAACTCTATATCTTACTGTCATTCTTACCAGCTAACTTGTTTGAAACACAGTGTCAAAGTCTCCCCCCTTACTTCCCTCCTTTTCTGTTTTTTATATTAAACCAATGTGTTTTTAAAGAGACCATTTTGTAAGTGCAGTGAAACATGACAGGGCGTGCATTCCTTGGCCAAAATTTGAAGAGTGTGTGTTTTTGTGAATAAACTTAAGTAACTGAGTACGCCCAAGGCATGCGTATGTTGGCTGGTAAATGTATATCCCGTTGTTTGTTATTTCTTGCTTTATTAGCATTTAAATTTCATAAAGGAACTAAAGCCAGATTCCTTAAAGGAGATCCATTAGTAATTTTAGAAAGAATTCTGGAGAGGAGAACTAGTTCTAGGAGAAATTATTAAAAATACCAGTTTTCTTGTATATGTGTTACTTAGAATCATAGAAGACTAGCTGCTCTGCTAAATTGATTATACATCCTATTCTGGCAGCAGAAAATGTTTGCGTTCATGTTGGGTTTGGTTATAATTATTAAGACATACCTTAAATTGCCAGAATAGGGTACCTCTTGTTTTTAATATAACATTATAATGAAAAGGGCAACAATATACCTGAATTGTTTTGTCTTTTACTGATGCTGATAAGTATTCATACATCAAGGCATTAATATTGTAATGATCTGAGCCAGTGTGATAAAGTAAATAAAGTATTGCACTAGAATATGGGAAACCCAAGTTCAAATCCCCACTCTGCCATGGAAACTTGCTTGGGTGACCTTGGGCCATTCTCCCTGTGCCTAACCTACCAGCCATTGTTGTGAGGATAAAATGGAGGCAAAGAGGGCCAAAATGATCTCTAAGGGTTGCTACTGTGAGGACAAAATGGAGGAAGGAGAATATTATAAGCCACTTTGGGTCCCCATTGAGGAGAAATGTGGAGTATAAATGAAGTAAATAATTACATAAATATTATAAGAAACCAAGTGATACAAGTAGTTTACAGGAAATCTTTTTATTGGACTACTTAAGGTGTTTGTAGTTTGTACTTGAGAGCCAGTTTGGTGTAGTAGTTAAGAGTGCAGACTCTAATCTGGGAGAACCGTGTTTGATTCCCCACTCCTCCACATTCAGCTGGTGGTGTGACCTTGGGTCAGTCATAAATTTTTGCAGAGCTGTTCTCAAAAGAGTTCTCTCATCCCCACCTACCTCACAGGGTGTCTGTTGTGGGGAGGGGGAGGGAATGCGATTGTAAGCCGCTCTGAGACTCCTTTGGGTAGTGAAGGGTGGGGCATAAATCCAATCTCCTCATCCTCTGCCTCCTCCTTCTAGGTAGCATCAATAATGCAAGTTCGCAGCATGTGCAACCAGTCACGACCACCCTCATCCAGCATATTGTGACTTTTTTCTGTTTGCTGTGGGGAGCACCCAGCATAGGGTTGCCAGGTCCCCTTGTCACCTTAGCAAGGGGATTTGGGGGACGTTCTGAGGGTGGGCAGGGACATCATGTGACATGCCCAGTGTGATAACATCACCCAGAAGTGACATCACCACAGCGGGAATGCTCTGGTAGCTGGGCGAAACTCTATGGGTTTTTTTGCCCTCAAACTGTAGAGTTTACCCAAATACCAGAGTGTCCACGCATGATGTCCACATATGACATCCGTAACTTAATGACATCACTTCCAGGTGATACCATGTCAGACATCATGCGACAACATCCCTGTTTAGGGGCAGGGTTTTCCCCACTGGCCATCTGGTCCGTGGTGAGGAGAAGGGGGATCCTCCGCCCAGACCTAGGTGCTGGCAAGCCTAACCCATCAAATAGATCAGATGATTTCTCCAATCCAATTGGAAATTAAGGGTTGCATGTTACTCTAGTATTTCTGTGTTCTCATTTCTGCATTACACCTACAAAGCTGCACATGTCTCTCACTGGTTGTTTTGAGCCACCATGTCAAAGAAAGTTTTCTGTAGCACCACCACTTTCAGGAATCACCCATACTCTCAGTCAAATAAATTACAGAGACAGCTAATAGTATGTATATTTTACAAAAACAATAACCATAAAACCATAAACATCAAAACATTTAAAACATATCATTATAAAAATATATAATGAAAAGCTCAAAAATTGGGTGCAGGGCAGGCCTGGGTATTAAACAACTCCAAGGACAGGCCTGGGTATTAGAAAGCAAAATCTTTCCTGAGCAGTGAATTCCCAGCAAATTCAGTGCCAGGCTGTACAGAATGCATTGACGATCTGATGTGCCACAACAGAAGAGGCTGTTTGGCCACCCACTTCATTTCAGAAGGTGGTGCATGCAGATAGGGTTCTCTCAACCTAATTTCAACTGGGAGGCAGGTTTGTATAGGAACTGGCCATTCTTTAAGTAATCTAGTCCTAGGTTGTTCAAGACTTTAAAGCTTATAATAACCAGGTCTTTGAATTGGGCCTGGATGCAGATTAACTGCCAGTGCAATTCTCTATTATTTAATTTATTTATTTACTTCATTTATATTATGCCTTCTTCCCAATAGAGACCCAAAGTGGCTCACATAATTCTCCTCTCTTCCATTTTATCCTCAGAACAACCTTGTGAGGTAGGTTAGGCTGAGAGTGTGTGACTGGTGCTAGGTCACCTTGTAAGCTGTTGCCATGCAGCCAGATGGCATTATTAAAGACTGTATTCATAATTCCCCAAGCTTATTAATTAATTAAGGCAATTTGGCTAACAAAGCTTCCATATCAGAGTGAGCATTTGAACCTCAGGCTTCCAGATCAGAGTCAGACATATGGTTGCCTGGTCCCTTACCTGTGCCAGCGGGAAGCTTTGGGGGACATTCTGGAAGGTGGAAGGATGTTGTGTGATGTCCCTGTTGCAGTGACATCACCTGGGAGTGACATCAACACACCAGAAATGTCGTGGGGGGGATGCTCTGGTTTTTGGGTGAAACTCTGGTTTTTTGCCCTCAAAACCATATTCCCCAAATACCAGAGCATCCACGCACGATGTTTCCACTGTGATGACATCACTTCCAGGTGATGTCATCACATCGGGGTAGTACTTCCGGTCTTACTGGAAGTGGCCCAAAAACATAATTTGGGGTCAGGATTTCTACCCACTGGCCAGCTGACCGGCAGGAGGGAAGCCTGCTCCAAATCGGGGGGTTCTCCCTCCCAGACCAGGGGGGCTGGGGTCCCTAGTCGGACAAACATCATACTTGGCTTGGTTACTGGTGAGTCATGCTCCTTATAAGTAGTATTAGGCAGCACTCCTGCTCCTGTACTAATTACACCTTCCGAATCTCTTTCATATAGAGCACATGCCAAATTTTGTTATCTGGAGCCACTGGACCCCCCAAGGGCAGGATAAGGGGGAAAGTGGGGGTCTGCAGTGGGAGTGAGAATCAGTGGAAATTCTTGCCCCCTTGTAAAAAAACTTAAGGTCCCTTAAATCTTTGGAATGTATGTTTGGATGCAAGTTTATATGATTAAGATTTCTTTAACTGGATTACAGTCCTGCCTTTGGGGATGAGCTGTGGCTCAGTGGTAGTGCATCTGCTTGGCATGCAGAAGGTCCCACATTAAATCCCTGGCATCTCCATTTAAAAGGATCAGGTAGTAGGTGACGTGAAAGACCTCTGTGTGAGACTCTGGAGAGCTGCTGCCAGTCTGAGTAGACAATACTGACCCTGATAGACCAAGGGTCTGATTCAGTATAAGGCAGCTTCATGTGTGTAAAGGATGAGTTAACTTTAAAGATATGTGTATCAGTTTGGAATGTACCAAAAACAAAGTACAAATGATTAAAATGTCAAATGTTTTACTATACTTGTCCACACATGTAATAAGAATTAATGTAGAATGACCCAAATGATTTCATTTACAGGGACATCAAGCCAGACAACATCCTAATGGATATGAATGGACATATTCGGTTAGCAGATTTTGGTTCATGTCTAAAACTGATGGAAGATGGAACGGTAAATTAGAAAACAGCTAGTGTATCATTTCCCCTCCCATTCATTTCTGGTCTGTTTTTGTCACTATAAATGGTGATGCTAATGAACATTCCTTCCTGTAAAATGACCATTTTAATACTTATGTTGATAATGTTGGGGTGGTTGTAAATAGATCAGCTGTACCATTCGCAAATGAGGGGTTTCACAAGCATCCAGATTTTAACAGTATTACTGATATTGGCTTCCATACTTAACATTGAATATACAGATGTTAAAAAGGATCATATTATATTGATTATTGAGCTACATGGAGCGCTCTGCTTCATAACTTGTCTACTTCATAAGTTCTCTACCTGCTATTGATGTTTGAAAATTAACAATATTAAAAATAAAATTCACTGAATAAATATCTTGATACAAGCATTGTTGATAACTTTAAAGTGCATGGTTAAAATAACCTATGGCATGGTTGTTCAGATTACTGAAAAATGTTAATAGTTGGAAAAATCACATTATTTTGATTTACACCACCATTAAGCAATAAAGATGTCACTTATTTCTCAGTATCACCACTGAAAATTTAGGTCTCCATTGCAGAGTTTGGATGCTTAGTAAAGGATGAGTAAAATACATATGACTGAATGGATGTGTGAATGGAGGAGAGGGTCTATAAATTGTAGGGTCTATAAATTGTAGGGTTCCCAAATCCCCCGGGGGGCGGAATTCCCCCCAGTTTCGAGCCCTGGCCCGGGGGAAACCCCACTTCCGTGTGTGCGTCACCCGGAAGTGACGTCGCACGCTGGGGGCGGGGCGACGCCATTTGAGGGGAAAACAAAGAGTTTTCCCCTCAAATGGCATGGCCCCACCCCAGCGTGTGACATCACTTCCGGTGATGCTCCGGAAGAGTTTAGAGCGCGAAGCGCGCACGCGCACACATCCCCAGCCGGCTCCCGGAGCTACAGGATGCTCCCCCGCCGGTAAGCTTTTTCGATTTGGCAACCCTAATAAATTGCTGGAACAAAGGGTTTTTAATCTTTTTTACTGCCAGTGTAAAGCATGGATCTTTGCTTCTGACAGAAGTAGGATATGGTCATTTCAGGCTTCTTCTGTTGCCCCCTGCCATGTATGGCTATTAATTCAGGCAAGTCCTATGACCCCTAGAATGTAGTTTCTGGAGGCTGGAAGGGACTTCACGGGGGGGGGGGCATTGAAAAGATCTAAATTACTTTTGCTAGTATCTGGGATACAACTCTTAGAGATTGGGGGATACAGTTGACACATAGTGGAGAGAAAGATCAATCTCCTTCATTCAGTGTGACTAATCCATTCACTCAAGCCTGGCCCAAAGGGAAATGTGAAGGGTTAGTCTGGCCCTTGTAATACCACTGCACACAAAAATAACGTTTGGTGTTCCTGTGATGGCAGCAGCCTCAAAGCCAGCGTGTCACTGAAAACCAATGTCAGAGTAAGATCTAGGAGACCCAGGTTCAAATTGCCACTCTGGAAGCTTGCTGGATGACTTTGGACCAGTCACACTGTCTCAGCCAAATGTTTCTTAGGCTGGTGAGGATATAATGGAGGAGGGGAGAATGGGGTTGTAACCTGTTTTGGGTCCTCATTTGGGAGAAAATATGGAATATAAATATCTACATAAATATAATATGCAACATTGCAACACTGGTATACTTTGTGCCCAGTGAAGGGGAGTAAAAAGGCAAGGAGATTACAGGTAAGAACTTGAGCTTCCTTACTCATGTTGTTCCCAGTGGTGGGGAGAGAATTATTGCTGTGGTTCCCCTAGTCCTTCAAATTAGTAAATGATTATTTTATAACAGAGATATCTGGGAAAGGTTTGAGATGTCCAAAGTCTAAGAATTTCACCACTTGGCCACCCAAGGCCAAGTAAAATAGCATACAACTTTACATTTTTGCCAGGTAAATAAGCACTTGGTGATCCTGGGGCTGGGACTGTGGCATGGAGATATATAGGACAGCTGATTAGAAAGAAAAGAGAACTGTGCAGAAATACAG